AACCTGGCCGACACCGACGGGTTCAAGTTCTACTCGAACTTTTTCACGTCGGACATTAAGGACACCCGTAATCACGTCTTTTACTCCATTTTCATGACGATCAGCGGCTCTCAAGGTGGTGCTAGACGTGTGGATTGACGGCACTTGCATCTTCAGCCGCCTTTATATACCGTATGGGTATTCATCCGTCTTGTGTGGCGCAGTGTTCTTCAGCCTCTTAACGGCCGTCAATGCTGCGCCGTGCAAATCTTTTGGGTCGAGCGACTTGCTTACGATGGCTTCGATCATCATCGTATCGATCGTTCAGATGTTCTTCCAATGGAAGTTCCATGGACTTATTTGAAGGTCGGCCTTACTGAGCGGTCTATACGATTGGCCAGAGTTGGGGAGATTTCTTCTGCTACGGAGCGTTCTGGACGATCATCTTCGTGTGCAAGTTCATGTTCAACTCAGTTGATGGTCAAGTCTCTCATTGGACCCAGCGTGGAGATCTACAGCGTGGATGTTTCCGCCGCCCAGCTGAAGAACGCATTATCGAGTCGGAGCACAACATTGCTTTTCAGGCCGCTATGTGGCTCCAGTGGTTCTTGTGTTTATTTACGATTCTCAGATCTGGCTCGCTATCGCTCAAGCTATCATCGGTGGCTGGATCGGATTCCGTCTCAAGATTGACCACTCGGCTCGCATCAAGGCGTTTGTGAAGCGCCTGCGGCAGGCCCCCAATTTCTTCCCCGCTATCGTCGAGCTCTGTTGCTCGTTATGCCAACAGCCGCCTACGCATTGAACTTATGCTTACGGAGGAGTGGATGGCTGAGAAGCTGCGAAAGTCTGCGTTTGCGAAGATGACGCCTGACCTTAAGTAGTACCGTGAATCAGAGAGAATGCACTTATTCTCTCTGATTCACGGTACTACTTGAGAGATAGAAAAAAGCGGAGGTTAATGATCCTACGGTCAGCTAGACGTCATCCGCCCCGTGAAGAAATCTTTATGCAGAGAGTACGTACTGTTGTGCATTGACTTTTTTCAATTCTGGGAACTAATGGAGGGTGTTGTTGAGTATGTCGGATAGGTTCCAAGATGTTTGATCCATTCGGCCAATGTTGTCAGGGCCATCCACACGCTCAAATCGGTTTGATTGTCGCTACTCACTATAAAGAAGTACATAACACCTACTCATCAAAATAAGCCAGCAAAAGAATACAAAGGATCTATGTCGGGTTCCCCGGCCACTGCGGGCCGGCAGGCGAGCTTACCAATAATCGATTTCAAAGCTCAGTAA